CCACTCTCATTTGTCTTTGCGTAGACGAAGGACTCCCAATACCCTCCACACCCCAGCGTCATCCTCACCAGCCATCACGTTGGCGTGGCAACGAGGCGTGTGGGACGAAGGCCATAAGGAAACAAAACGATTACACAACAAAAGCACGCAATAAACCATAAAAAGCAAAAGCACAGGTGAAGCAACGTAGAGGAGGGCTACATCCATAAATTACCACCTCTGAGCACGATTGGCAAGGCTCACTAGAAGCCGGCCGTTTTCACCATACCTACAGGTGTACTTATCCGTCGCCAAGCCACACACCCCTGCGTTCCACGCTTCCCCGCGCCGTACTCCGTTCCGTGCAGCATACACCTGCACTGAGTGCTGGCAATTATATTGCATCCATGCGCAGTCACAAGTCCCTCGCCACCCAAAAATGATAAACAAGGGAACGCATCACCAAAAAGCAGTAAAACCATAATCACCCAAACAGAAAAGAAGCTTATGTAACCAAAATTATTTATCGCCGCAATATACGCCAATGCCCAGCCACTCAGAGGAGAAAGGCACAATGGTTCAAGATCCGGAAAGATGCCCTCTGCCGTGTAGAAGCCATCCAACACACACACAGAATATATTTTATCTCAATGTGGGCATAGTCTCCCAGTATATCATCCACGGAAGTCCTGCCCCTGAACCCTGCGTCAGCACACATATTCGTCACGTTCCACTTCCAAACAGGGCACACACCATGTGGCGCCCAGAGGAGGAACGAGCAATGGCACAGATGCACTTCCATTGGCCCCACCTCCTCTTCTCCAAACGTGTTCTCCGGCTGGAGGCGGCGCACAGGCTCTCCCTACGGCACCATACACGGCCGGAGTCCATGCAGACTTGGACTCAGGGCGCAGACAATGCACGCAAAAATTATACCGGTTACTGTTTGTCGTCAAACTAGCAAACCGTACGGGTTCGCCAAGCGCATCCCAACGGCAGACGCAAAGTAGTCAATGATTTTGCACAAACAGAAAACACAGCAACGTCTCCATAAAATTATGGTTTTAAGATCATTCGCAGAAGCATAGAGGACAAATTCCTACAACCGCGTGGCTGTCGCATCTCCGCTCGGCTCGGGCGCCACCGTCACTGCCCGCTCCTTCAGGTGCACAGCGCCCTGCCGCGTCATCCAGTGCTTCGGGCGCCGCAGGTAGGAAAGCAGATCGGGCGGGAAGTCCACGTCGTCATTCGTCACAAACACGAATAATAGCCCCTCACGGCACACCAAGAGAGAGAAACACTCAGGCCCTCATTCACAGCAACGCTGCATCTCATCCTTCCTTGGGTGGTGTGTCCCAACCACACGGGGGCATCCTCCTCTCCCCACAGGAACAACAACGGTGGCTCATTGTGACAGCCCAACGCAGGTGTCAGCAATCTGGTCGGCATAGTGATTGCCCCACACCATGCTCCAGGAGCAACGGCGGATCCATTACAGACGGAGTCATCACCCCTTTGCAGAATACCGGGCCATGTGATGTCATCCATCCTCCGTGACGTCGCATCAACCAGCAGTTGTGCATCTCCACACATTCGGTTTTCTCATTTCGCCGCATGGGTCACCAGAGCATGTTTTACACCGGTGGATAACCTGGAATTCATTGCACCGCATTAAAGGCACGCCACGATCAGCCCAATGCTCAGCAAAGCGCCCAAGGAAACAGGAGGTGTTGGACGAGACGAACACATATCAGTTGAGCGTCTTCAATGCGTGTCTGATGGTGTACGCGTGGTACATGCATTGCCCCACCACGGCCACCAACAACAACCCTAGACGTCTACTCTATCCCCACTTCGTTTAGGTAATACAACAAGAAGAGAATATGCATTTCTTCACCGCGATCCACAAAAAGAAAAGAGAAATCACTGTTTCGCTTCTTGGCGACCTCAGACCCATTATGGATGCAGTTCCGCGGCAGGAGCCGCTCACGTTCGGATATATGCCACTAGAGGCCTCTCTTGCCGCAGGGAGGAGGCGTGGGACTCGGGGTCACCGTGCCCCCACCCCTATTGAGAGAGGCGCCAGAGAGGAGCGAAATAAGGAGGGAGGGTAAAAAAAGAAAAGGCCGGAACCCGCCTCTGTTCCCAAGCGGTCGGCTACCATTCCCCGGAACCCAAAAAAAAACGAACAAACAGCTTTCTGCGGAACAACGACAAAGAGAATATACGGCTCCCTGTCTCACACTCGCTCCACAGGGTCCTGACAGCCGGGAAAGAAAGACACGCGATTGCTTCTGGTTTGCTACGAGTAAACAAAAGCAAGGAACACCCACAAAAACGAGGCTCGCCTCACCTCACCAATGGGGTCAGCTAGACCCTAAAAACCGTCCGTCATCCGCGCAGCGGAATACCCATTAGGTCACACACGCCGTTCACCCC